TGTTAAATTAGGTTCATGGGATGAGCCCATATTTACTCTAAAATTGAATAGACTCAAAACTGCTTGACAAAAAATAAGAACGAATGTTAAATGAGTTAGAATGTTTGTACCAATCTGATCTGTTTTTTAGCTGACTAACCCAAATCTAACCCTTGTAACCTATTTAACATAAAACATAGCAACTATTCTGATCCATTGTGGTTCAATGTTAGCGAATAATTTTTATTTGGCAATTTTCTTTGATAATTTTTGCTAGAAAACCTATTATAAAAAATAATTGGTTGAGATTCTTGACCCAAATCTGACAAGAAAATTAATCGGGTCAACTGAAACTAATTTTTTTGTGTTTGATTTAGATTAAGTTGGTGATACTCGTTATGTTGTGAACAACTTACAAACATGTAAGCATACATATTCATCAAGTAGTATGTGAACTTTAGTCAATATATCGATCCCACAAGGAACTTGTTTATTTTCCAAATTTAAAAAGTCTGTCTAATAGTCTCAAGTCTAGCTGAAAGGTTGTAGGTTTGGCAAATTTTTAAAGTCACTAAACCTAATTTTGGTAATTTATTGAAACATACGAACTAAGTTTTACGGTCTTAATTAAGTGAGCAAGCTTCCCATAAATTGGACCTACCAATTTAGCCTTATTTATGTGATTCCAATATTGTTGACAATCAGAAATAAAACTATTCCGTACCCCCATCTGGTGTTCTTAAAAAGTATTGGTGTTTCATATTATACTTAGTTCCCTAATCATGGAAAAATTCTCGTGTTTCCGTATATTCATATTCGCCTAAGTTAGTGTACATTAGGCTAATTGTTTCACTAGCCTACTCCCATAATATTATATCATAATTTATGTTAACAATATAAATAACCAGTTTATATGTAAATTACATGCAAAAGATTATAATATCAACATCTAATGATATGAAATTCAATCACAATTAAAAGATAACACCGACTTTCATTGATTACCAATTCAAGGGAGTGAGATATGTAGTCCCTACTCATTTAAAAGAAATGCGATTAAGAATTCATTCTAAAACCAAATAAAAAAGAAATTAGAACAATCTCACCAAGAAGCTCGACAAAAGTATGATAGTTTATAATGATTTCACTACGATTTCCCTCTTTGAATACACAAAATGCTCAATCTCACTCAACAACACTCGCTCACACCCCCAAAACTTTCATGGATTTCTCCTTCGAAGTGTTATGACTACTCCTGAGTATTCTCCAGTGCACCCTTCACTATGGCTTGCCCTCTCCTTCTCCCTTTCAATCTCTCTCCCTTTTTTTGCTTAATATTATGAGAATTTAAGCCTTATAATGTGAAACCTTGTGAGATAACCATTAAAAGCCAACAAAATGTAAATTTGGGTACTCGAACACGCCCATAACTGGTGCCTCCTGGTCCTCAAGTATTTGGCACCTAGAAACCTAGGACTGGCACCTCGACACCTAGAATTGGCACCTGGGCACCTAGTCCTTGGGTTCCTGGTGCCAGTCCTCTAGTTCATGGCACTCGCGCGACTAGGATTGGAACATGGGCATCTATTCAGATTTGATTTGACTCGGCTTCATCTCTTTTGCTTCCTAAGTTGCCTAGACACATGTATATTGAATATACAACCATAAATACCTTGAAATAAATGACACAAGTAATGTAAAAAATAAAAAAAAAGACCATATATTATTTTCAGCATATAATTTGGTGTATTGAGTTGAATTTTGACCCTTTTATCACAATTGATACATCTTTAATCCGATCTTGAAGGATTTGAGAGATCATGCTATCTATCAAAGGAAAAGGGGCATGTCTTTGAGTGATGGCTTATGAGTAAGATGATACTTGTGATTGTGCTTGCTAGCAAAATTCTATAATATTTTTAATTCTTTTTATCTTAAAAATGAATACATACTCACCATTATAGTGAGCAATTACGACACCTTTCTTGTAGTTCCACTGGAGTATTATCTCTATGATAAATTTGTTTATTAAATGTCGCATGGATGATTTTCATGTAATAATATCAAGGCACCTTGCATATTGATCTATAAAGAGGAACTTAGTTTCAAGCTCTCGCATTAAGCATGGTAAAGAGAATCATAAACTTAGAATCGAAATAGTAATCAATGTGCTTAAATTAACCTCATTATGGGAATTGATGCACATTTTTCTCCTTATTCTATACTAACAAATTTCTTCAAAGCATATCAAACCAAGGTAATATGTTAGCTTTGTTGACCTTTTGATTTGATTTTGTTTTTGTTAGCTTGTTTTGCCCTTTATAATGCTCAATAGGTGGAGCTTTGAACTTATGGGGCAATATTTCTGCTATGATAATTTGAATGAAGGGAGAAGTATTGATAGCATATTAAAATGAGCATTATTAGTCATATATGAGGTTATGATATTAAGACTAAGTTGATGCCTAAATTATTGGTTAGAATTGTGGTTCATGACTCCATCATGATAATATCTATTAAAGTCACTACTGAAATGACAACAAGAGGTAGTCCCTAAAAAATTATGAAAAAGCTTACTAAATAAGCATTAACAATGTAGACAATCTTGAAAGTAAATATAATTATTTTCAAAGAGCTTCAGGAATTAGGCCATGATAATATATATATATAGGGAAGAATCATTTTTACTTAAAAGTAGTGGGAATAGTTTTGTGTGCGGGTATAACCAGGAAGAAAACAATGTCTAAGATTAGTCTTAATGAGACAACGTTTTATTCATATTAAATAATAATGAGTTATGTGATAATGAAAGAATAATATGTGAAGAGTCAATCATTTGAGTCATTACTTCCCACTTGGTGGGGGATCTCCTTTTAAGGATGATCAATATAAAAGTAGAGAGAGAGAGAGAGAATATTTGATTTTAATTGATTAAACGTGTTGTCCTACATCCTTTATAAAGAAAAGGGGATTAGTTTCCTACACAAAAAAAAGAATAAAACAAACATCAAATACAACTAATCTTAATTATTACTCTCTCCATCATGAGATTCTTCATTAAATAATTCAAAAAAAAAGTTTTTTAGATTGCTAAAAAACATTTCCTTCTCAAAAGTTTGAAGATGTGATATTTATGGTTATGAGGATGAGTTGTATATCAATTATTCCAAGCGATTTAGGACGTTATCTCCATGTGAGATGTCTTAGTACTCTTGGATACATCAAGTGGCTTTCTTGTCCATCCAATCATGCCACCTTGTTGTTTATATACAATCATTTGCGATGAGGTGCACAACACATATGATAAGGCATGAATCATGCCCGCATAGATCCATCAATAATTTAATTTTATGGAAATTTTTCGCATCCCTACATGACACCACTAATGATTGTCAATAATTTTGTGCATGAAAATAATGTGATTATGAATATAAATATTCTAAACAAATTCTTTACCTATCTATCCCTTTTGCCACCAATAAATTACTATCGAACCCCTTTACTATATTAAACAATGCATGTGTTTAATGAAGAAAATGTCCCCAACTCAACAAACTAATGAAGGAACCATGTGTTCAATGGGATCCGGCCTCATAAGAAATTGATAAATAAAGAAATTATATGGCGGTAATTCAAGTTTTCTGAGAGGATCTTTGGTATTTTAGCGCTGAATGATACTTGGGTGCGGCTTAAAATCAGTTTGTGGCACATTATATTCGATTTCGAGTCAATCCGGCTTAAATTTGAATCGAACCTGATCTAGCTTGGAATCGAAATGAGCTGGTTGAAATTGAATTATTTGGATCCTCTTCAGCACGACATAGGCTCAAAATTGAAACTAACTAGATCATTAAGTTTTTAGATCCATTCCAACTCGAAACTGACTCGTTACTCGTTATATAAAATTTTATTTCGCATTATATATAATTTTTTTATAAATAAAAAATACTATGAGTCAATCTCGAGTCAGTTCGAGCCGATCCATGTATGACTCGAAATCGATTTGAAAAAAAAATTGATCTAAGATTTCAGCTCATAGCTTGACTTGTTTATTTGTATCTATCTCGATCTGAGTCAAAATTCGAATTGATTTTCGAGCGTTTAACTATCTTCGAGCTAAATTCACAGCCTTATTCCAAACTCCTTGATTAAAATAAATTTTATTTTTATAAAATTTTCAAAACTCCACAAATCTCTCTTCCTCTAAATATAAAAATTATAATAAGTATTCTGAATATTCTATAAATATTAATGTATTGGTAAAAAATGTGTTGATTGATTTTTAATGTAGTCCTACATTCTTAATAAAATTTCCTATAATAGTTTGAATTTACTTGAATTATATTTAACTGAATGAGATGATAGAATATATCTATATATATATCATCTAATAGTCTTTGGTCATTTTTTTTCATATATATATATATATATATGAGA